TCCTGGAATTTGCGTCCACAACCTGTCAAAGATCCTCGTTGTTCATGATTTTTTTGTGTCCCTGAGCGCGGTCCATCGCTCAAACTGAGATCCCCCGAAGAAAATATTTTGAACCAGATCCGTGCTGTTCGATCACTAACGGCATCATCTCCGAATGCGGTACATATTTTTCGCGCCGCCACTGCAGCTTTTGTACCAAGTTTGCACTCATCCAGTAAACAACTTCGAATTACTGTTTTATTCGTCGCCATTCTCAATCATTAAAACTAGGTATGTAATAATTTTCAGCAACTTTTTCTTTGTGTGAGAAAAGAAGGATTTATATTAAAGTGACAACAGGTAACAAACAATCGCCATCGATCAACAACATCCATGGCAATGGCGATATACAGCAACCGCACGAACTTATTTGGTTACCTGATATTATAACTAGAGTGCCATCTGATGGAGGCCCCAGTAGTGAGAGGAGTGGCAAACTCAACTATGCTGTATGGAGCTCCCATCCATAGCAAGGCCCCGTGGTAAAAGAGACCAATGCTCAGAAGCCAGCGAAAAGTAATGCTCCGCTCCTCGATGGCAGAGGAGTTTTTTGTCAGATGACAAGAAAGGAGGGATGCAACTGGCCAAGGCGCATGGACTAGGAGGTTGATCCCAGATGGTAAAACTTAGATTGACAAGGGAAAGGATTTATACCTATTATACTACACAGTTTCTCATAGGACTATATATGTACATAGATTGACTACCAGAGACACTCTAGGCGAGGGAGGCCCTGTTGACAATTTTCCCAGGCATGTAAACGAGTGCAAATGGATTAACATTTAACCGATTGTGAGGCGGAAAGGTGCCGAGCAAGGTATGGATGTTGAGAACAGACCGAGGAATCAATAATAGGTTTCTATTTGCTGGGTTTTACATGAACATAGGTGAAAAGTTCACACAATGCTACCCACAATGACGAAATGCTGCTAGCGTTACCGCGGTGGAATGTGTAGTGAACAACTGAGGAGCTTTAGGAGCTGACAGGCGTGTCGCTCTACAGGCCGCGCGACATGTAATCAGGCACTACATGATACAGTTCATATGCTAAATTGCAATTTTTGACCATACACATATGTGCAATTCTTTGGAATTGCAGTGGTGCATATGATAAACGGTTTGTAGCCAATTGGGTCTTCTGTGCATTCCAACCAACATTTTGTGCAGATCTTGTTTTATAGAGAACTCTGTCAGTATAACTTCAGGGCAAGTTGTGGACAGTATAATATGAAAAAGGTCGTGCAAAATAAGATTTTAGCAAATAATTTTACACTGGTCCCTACAAAGCTAAATGTCGTTTCCTCAAAGACATATTGATTCTGCTTGAAATGTGTCTTTTGGTTTTTCGTTGTTTCTTAAAAAGGTGCCCGATACTTCTTCGTAACAAAAAAACGGGTTAATGGAATTATTTTCAGTTCGAAAACGGTGCCGTTGAATGGAAAACTACAAAAGACAGTTGGACAATAACTTTTTGGAAAAAAAATTGACACACAATTTTTCTCTAGACATAGAAACTTCTCGGCACAACCTCCCTGATGTAAGCGCTCTCAAAAACATACTTGTTAATGTGGACTTTGGCAATATATTTGTTTATATCAAAACTAATCTCAATATCTTTTTTGATTTCAGGAAATGAAAATACGGACAAGTTCCATATTACAGAAACAGCACATTCCCATACCTATCCATATGAGCTTTTTTTCATATTTTAACATCAGAATGAAGTACATCTTCGTATAGCGAATACTCGGAATTTTAAATATCTCTGTTCCTGAGGGAAAATTATAAAGAAGAGTTATCAACCCGTGACATATCTTTCAAGCGTTAAACACTTCAGATTAGCAGATAAAAGGTTTAACATTAAGAACTTGACAAGTTTCTTTTAAAATAATGGGCAAACTTATATGCGTTGTTCGTTCGTATGCTTCACCATGACGAAAATGTTTTCTTTGCTGAATGTTTTGACATTAACATTTCGGTAATTGATTTAATGGTGCGTTCACAGTGAAAGTTCAAAGTTACCAAGTCGCTATTGGAAAACCCGATATTTCCGCCCGTTTTGATGTTTTCTACCAAATGAATAAAATTGGCTAGCTCCTACACACACGTTTTTTCTGTTCCACTTTTTGCGTCCCTAATTGTTTCCTTACATTCCCTTTGTAAAACGGCGACCTATAGGTGAATGGAGGAAAGTTTTTTATGCTAAAAGTGCCGCCGTATCTAACTATTCGGAGAAAAAGGTGCCCTCTTTGCCTTCCGATGGGAAAAAGGTCCTGTTAGGATCGCAGTTTGATTAAGTTTATAGAAGGTTGTTCAATCTGGGTCAGATGGACTTGTGTGAGAGTTTTCAATACTCATCGAGTTTTTGAGAGGAATGCAGATAATACAGAAGAAGACCTGGTTAGTCGTTTGGATTTTCGTGGATGACTGAATTCAAGGAGACATTCGCTTGAGTATGTGATCTGCATTTAAAAGTAGAACAAGATCTTCCGGTGTCACAAGACTTTTTTAAGAAATTCATGTTCTCTAAGTAAACATCGCTCATCGCTCAAATTTTGCAGGACTTATGCAGAAGGAACTTGACAAGTTATACTACTAGCCACTGTGCCGCTGTGCAAAGCCGTGACAGGCAGTTGATTCATGGCATATTTCTTACCAATTGCAATATCTAGATCTTTAAAATTGAAAAACCTCGGTCTCTCACACCCAACTTTTTTCAAGGTCTAGAAATTTTTATCAGAAAATTCTTTCTTTTCCGTGGTATTTAAACCTTGGGATGAAATTTGTAACAAAAGGATGTCAGTATCATTTCAAAACTTGCCACCTCGGATTCATCGAAAACCACTAATTAAACGGAAAAACGCCGAGACTCGTCAAAAGATTTGTTAAGGGGAACAACCTTTTAATCAAAAACTCAGAAATTTTACATGACAAGGGGTATCGAGTAATAGCTTGTTTAAAAGGACTCTCGAAATCCCTTATTTTGACGTTTGATTTTTCAAAACCAGTCGATTCATTTTTGAGAAAATTGAAAAAATATTTATTTATCTTAATTTGTTCACATAGAAAACAAAAACACACGAAAATATCACTTTTTATTTCAATTAGTGTTCAAAATGTTGCCCGTTAGGGTTCGTTTATAATTTAAAACAGAAACTACCAACATAAACAGCAATTCGGAAGATTAGACATGGCAACAACCAAATAACAACCCGATTTTTTTCCGCATTCTTTTCATCAACACAGATATGCTGGGCGCACTGTATTTATTGTTATACCTGTTTAGTTATTTGTTGCTAAGGGAAAGCAAGAATTTAATTTGCTGTCTGTTACCGTTGTGACAATTTTGAGATAATGAAAATTAACTTATTGATTTAGATTTCACTTCCAAAATGGTTTACACACTAGCCAACAGAAGGAAAATGAATCTAATTTATCATGCCCCAAATCAATGTGCATGGCAAACTGCCGTCGCGTTTATCGCTATACATCCGGGAAATATAACTTCGCATAGGTATGTTTTGGACCTTCTTACTAAATTTACTCGAACTGGATCTGTTGTAGATAAAAAACGTGATCATCGGAGAGTTTTGGATGAAGCCGCTCAAGTTAAAGTATTGGGTCATTTTGGAATGAATCCAAATACTTCACTACGCAAAATTGTTGCTGCGATTGGTATTTCATTAGGCTCTGTACAAACAGTTACTAAACTCCATAAATTTAATCCATTCAAAATGAAAATATTGCAACAGTTAACCAAAGTTCAGTTTTGTGAACAAATAACTGCAGCAATAATTAATGATAATGTTATCCATGTAAAGAATATCTGCTTCAGTGGTAATGCACATTTTATCTAAATGGATTTGTTAATAAACATAACTGCAGGTATTGGTGCAATGAAAATGATCATGATTTTTTTAGGAAACAAAGTGATTGAGCCATTGTTTATTAATGGAAATTTGAATGCAGACATTTATTTGGATATGTTGGAAAATACCATCAATCCGCTTATAACTGAAACCATTGAAAACCAAATCGAAGAGGATGGAAGCCGTATACTTGATGAGGCTGATATATATATATATATACAATAAGACGGCGCTCCTCCTCACTATGTTCTTCCTGTTCGGAAATGGCTAGACGATGAGTTTCCAGATAAATGTATAGAGCGAAGAAGACCTATAGAATGGCCTGCTAGATCTCCTAGACTTTTTTCTATGGGGGCCAGTTGAAACCTATTGTGTTTACTCCCCAACCTGAGAACTTGGATGAACTTCGTCAACGCATCATCCACAACATGATTTTGAAAATGTCGTTCAGGAATTTGAACATCGCCTATATCATTTTGTTTGGCAAATAACGAGCAACAATTTGAACATTTATTGAAATAAAAGGTCCTATTTTCATGTGTTTTTGTTTTCTATGTGAAGAAATTAAGATAAAGGTTTTTCTGATTTTCTTGGGAACGAATCGACCGATTTTAAAAAGTCAAACGGCAAAAAAAAAGTATTTTGGAAGACCTTCCAAACAAGCTATTACTCGCTACCCCTTGTCACTTAAAATTTTTAAGATGACTCTGGGGGCAGATGGTGAAAGGGGCTGAAGTCGTTTTTCGTTAGAAAGTTTTCTCATTGACAAATGTTTTGACGTGTCTCGGCGTTTTTTCTTTTAATCAGTAGTTTTCGATAAATCCGTGGTGTAAAGTTTCCAAATGAACACCCTGTATTAGAAAATTATTTATCTCAGGATTTACTAAAATGAGTCCTTGCGATATTATTCACAATAAAAGAGTGTCAGTATCAGCATATATTGTAAAGATTTAAATCAATTAAATCCTTTGAGAGTATTATTACAATTATTAGACTATGGTGTTATATAGTATTAGTTCTTTTTTACGTCACAACTAATAGTACCCAATGATGTAGTTTTGCCTTATTGATTAGTGGTATCCTTTTCGGTTAGCAGAAACACCCACACGTGATCTTCGAGGCCCGGACGAAGGCGAACAAGGGCTGCGCGAACTCAGGAACGATGGAGTGGAGGTTAACCGGGCCCGGCTCTGGAGGTCACCACTCGGGGTTCCTGCCCCTAAGAGGTCGAAGAGACGTCAGGGAGGCCACCAAGTATATCGAGACGTCACTGGTGATAGACAAGGCGATGTTTGAGAAGAGGAACGGGAGCACTAGGATGGACGTGGTACACGATTCGATTCAGGTAGCCAACATTGCAGATCTCTACTTCAGGACGTTGAATACTAGGGTGTCGGTGGTGTATATTGAAACTTGGCAAGGTGAGTGAATTATTACATTTTGCTTTCTATAAATACAAGCAGTCAAATTTTTTGTATCAAGATGAATGTTTGCTTGATAACAATACTCGTACCTATGATGTATGATGATGTATGATTGTGGGCCTCAATAGAAAATTATGATCAGTGACATTGGCGTATATAAAAAACGAAATACTGATACTGAGCAAATTTTCATTATGGTGGACATTGCTTCAGCATTCGTAAAGAGGAAGTTAAAAACTATTAGCTGATTTGTTCATCCCAATATTTGCAGAGCAGTAGGTAATTCGCATTTTTCGTGAATTGGGACGCTCAGTAACTGAAAAGCATCCACCTTCGATTCCAACGTTTTATTGGTGATAAAGTATTTTTAAGGGTCCAAATGGATTTTAGATCCAAAACGCGTTGTAGTGTATGATTCTTTTAAGCTCGTACGTGGTAGCCGCAAGCACGTTAAACCTGTTTTAAAGCTTTGACAGCTTCGAGATATCCATAAATATTTATTTTGTGATGGGTCAGAAACTATAAGAAAAGAAACTTTACTGTTTACCTATTAAAAACGGACAAATAAGTTTTTCTAGTTGCTTTGCTCCAATATTTTTCGAATCACGTCTCTTCAAAATACTTAAAAGTACACATTCGTATTTTTCCGGCTGCCATAACAAAATTTTACATAGTTTCTGTGGGAAGGCACGCCTATGCTATTTTCAAGCTCTTTGAGGGGTAAACAACAACTTTTAAAACCCACCATTCTGAGAGATCTAAAAATATTCGTAAACGTTGTATTGCTTTTACCCTACAAGTTCAAAGTTTAAGTTTAGATTCACTCGGGAAAGAATGAAGAAGCTAGTTGACGATTTTTAGGGATAAAATGACACCCCTTTCAATACTTTCTGTGACTCGCTGCTTTAAGATTCTGATCAAACCTCCTGAAAAACTTTTGGAAAGGTATCAAATTGACAACTGATGGTTCACATATTCTGTATGTTAGATTGGCATTTACGATTTCCAAAACATCATGATTATAATAGTCGGTTATACCACCCGCTTGACCTTTTTACTTTTTGTTCGGTCTTTCAACTTCCTTTTTTTTCTCCTTCATTTGTTCTTTGGTGTTTGTCTCTTATTTCTTTCATATTTTTTTGTCTTACAAATTGTAATACACAGAGAACCTTTGCATATAAAAGCTAATAATAGTTCATGGTGACCATCACATTATTACATGGCATTTTTTCGAGTGGAACGGTCTTTCCTAACATCGTTGTAGAGCGAGGATATTTTTGACGATACTTTTCTTGTACACTTCACTACCTTTTATGGAAAGAGTAATACATATATCAGTTTATTAACCTATAATGTGTTGTAATTTACGCACCATCCTCCAAGCAGACCGAACAACTGGACATTACTGATACCCTCACGCAACCCACAAATGCACGAAGAATCCATTGCCCCTAAATTCTATCCACTTGACGTCGAGGCCATTACTGATATTTAGGAGCATTCCTTAAGGAGAAAAGTAATATCTTTATTAAATCTTTTCTGTTTGCAACGTACTTCAAGAATTTATTGATATCGAAGGAGACAGTGGAACTATTTTAATTTAGATCCAAATTGTGCTGGGAGGAAGGACGATTACAGAAGCTAGATCGATGTAAATGAAATAAATAGCTTTCTTGTAAAAAGGCAGAAAGTAATAGCTTGTGTGAGAAGTTGATTGCTTTTGTTATTATTGGAAAAGATAAAAATATAATGAAATTCACTACAAGTAATCTTGAGGTTATATTATTGTCAAATCATATTGGACGAAAATACCTCTGGTTTGCGGAATAATTGTAAAGTCTGGTTTTATTGCTGCAAGTTGTTCAAGGGAGTATTCAAAACATGGACGCATAAAATGGGTACACCAATTTTTGTGGGAAAATTTTTTATTCGACAATAAAAAATTAGAAAACGTGTTTTTTCGGATTCAATCGAAAGTGTTGCCAGGAACGAAACGACTCTTCATACAAGATTTTCAGCTATTTATGAGGCCTACAAAATGATACCACACGTAAAAAGATCCGGCTAATAGCAAACAAGTTATGGCCGAAAACCGAGGCAAACTTCAAGTTTTGGCACCTGTTGATAATGCGACTTTACTATTTTTTCGGAGAAATTTGCCAATATGATTAGACTATATATGTAGGGATGTTACGGATAGAGTGAAAAAATTGTTTAACGCAATATTGTTATTTCCAGGTGGCAATCAGGCGACGATAGACCGCAACGAGGACATTGGCAAGGCATTGAGCAACTTCAATGACTACACGGCCAGGAAGTTGTTCAAAGTTGACAAGGACACCACGCAGTTGCTGACTGGGGAGGTTTTCGTTGGTGGAGAAGCGGGAATGGCAGTACCGGCAACCGTTTGTACCACCAAATCCGTAGGGATCAGTGTGGACATCAACACCTATGAGCCACATTTGTTGGCCGGTACCATGGCGCATATGATAGGTATGTAGATTACGACAGTTTCATATAACAGTAAAATGTGTTTGCATTCAGTCATAAATGAACATTATATCCACTATAGAGTATTGAGACGTGCCTTTTAAAAAGCAACTACTCGCGAAATAACAAAGCTAATGTGAGGTAAAACGACAGCATAATAGTATTTATGCTGAAAAGCTCCATGTTTTTCTAGCCGCCGAATGAATATTCAAATATAAAATGTATTGTCATTTTATTTTTTTCTCATTTGCACTTGGAAAAAAGCCACCGAGGCCATCAAAACGTTGGTGATCATGTAATCATGTAATCCAACATATTCTGCGGCAAGAGAAACATGGAATTTCATCAGCAGAAAAGGGATAAAAATAGTGTCAAGTAGGTTGACCCACACCCTACGCTATCGGCAGTTATAGGTTATGTTCGGTAGAAATTGGACCCACTTAGGAAAAAATTAAACTGCAATTCTGTAAAATCACGATGGAGCTATAAATCTTACATGGTAACACGACCTCGACCTACACCGTTATCAACTTTTTTTGCTTATCAGTGCTTACCAACATACATCGTTATTATTTTTTGTGCGTAATGTATTCGTTGTTACCTTTGACTGACAATTTTTGCGGCGTTGAAAACCCAGGATGGCATTTCTTACACTCAATACATGTATTGCAGAATCGGAACCTTGTGAATACCAGCAGTTGATTGACGATAGGTTTATCTTCTAGCTACGTTACCGGGTATCGAAAATGTTTCTCATGACTCAAAGTCTTGTATTGAAATATGTGTATGAATTGTCTCCAATGTGTACATAAAATTACTGGGGCTAGAAGTGTATAAATATACTAATATTTTTATACTTGAGCCATCACGAAAGCCTTAGGCCTAAATACCTGTGGGTACCGTGAGGTTATAAGGGGATTCAGGAGAGAGGGGGAGACATCACACGGACTCTAGCGAGGGAACACGTGTGTATGTGCACGCATTAATAATAATAATAATAATGTATTTGCCAAAAATACATATTGCTATAATTTGTTACCAGTATAGGAGCAACAATGAAAAATTAAAGCACCGCACAGTGAGGCAGAATCCCAAAAAGCTGGCCAAAAGTCAGAAAGTGTCGTAAATGATCTCAAATTCTCTTCTCGGGGGTTTTTGGAGTCGCTGAACATGAATCTGTTATCAGAATTACGATTTACAAAATGGCGGACCCAAAATGGCGGACATAATTTAACCAATTAGTCAAATAATCCAGTAAAAATACCCAATTGTATTTGTTTATGGTTTTTGGAATCGCTGATTACGAATTGGTTATCAAAATGTTAATTTTCAAAGTAGCAGACGCGATATATGGAGGATTCCGCAAAATTTTTTAATTCTTTAATATTTTTAAATAGAAAGTATTTTATAATATTTTTAGGTTTTAATGAGTAAAAAATCTTTCCAGCAATGTTTTTTATTTATAAAAAATTTCTTTTATAAAAAAATTTGCAACAAAATGAATATCAGTTATTTACTTCTAGTAACAAAAATCTTGTACGTCATCTTCAATGTTTCGAATCAGTCGATTCGGATTCTGATGTTGACCCACTTGTATCTAAATCGAAATCGTTCCTTGTCTCTTATCTGGTGACTTCAGACCCTACAGAGCAGTTGAAGGCTGCTACCTCTTACAAACATGTGGGAAATACAGTTCTAACTACTGAAATTTCTTGGAGGAATATCTTATAAAATGTTGAGGTTATCATAAAATAATGCGTGAAGTAAATTGTAAACCGTACATTTAGAATAACATTAACCAATGTTTATAAACAGAAAATATACCAACGTACTGTAACAATATAATCAATGCATAACAGTCACACGTCTATTAATGCCCCGCCACGTATTTCTCCCTAAAAATTAGTCTAACTATTCGTTGAGCACTCCTGAGCAGCCAGATTTTCACTATATTATATTTCATACTGTACACTATCACTTCCTTGTCGAAACAGGATCGAGACTCGCGAAGACATTTTTAAAACTACGTTAGAAAATCTATTTTAGGAAATAAAATGTACAACTGTTTATGTGTATTTGTTGTAAAATTTAAATATTTCAAACATAAAATAAGCAACAACTGTGTATAACTATATATTCTGCATACCTTCAGAAAGTGATTCCACTTTGCATAATTCAAATTGAGATAGTTTCGTCTGTTTTACAGAACTTCGAAACAGACCAGAATTTTTCGACGTGTACACTTGCTTAGTGCGTACCGAACGACGGCTAAATGTCGACTGATGTCAAGGCGACCCTAGAACAAGTATACACTTGCCCTGTCCGGAATTTCATTCTAGAACTATCCGGAAACAAGATCTAAACGTATATAGACGAATATATACAACTCAAAAATTTGATTTCTGGCCAGCTTTTTAGGATTCTGCCCCACTGTGCACCGCCACGAAAGAGAAACCTTGTGTGTGGCAATAATCTAATTTTTTGTCACATTTGCCATCATGGTCACTGGCCAAACAACTCATGAGTCGTGAAATGAAACTGGTTATTTGTTTGTCTAAAATTAATTTTAAAAAAATACATTGGAGCTATAGCTATCCGTAAAGTATAAAAAAGTTAAAATAAAAAGAAGGTTAAAAAAATAAATAGTTCATTTACAAATCATTGAGATGCACAGATTAAAAAAGTATTAAGACTTGCCACTAATAATTCTAGCCTCACTTTAGAGATCCGCCGGTCTGTACCCCCACGTTCAACGGTCTAAGACCATCTACCTTCTACGGACAATCACAACATCCCTAGCCAAACGAAAAACCATGTTGGTCCGGGATTCGAATCCACGTAACTCATGGCGACTGATTAGTAGACCCGTAGCGTCTACCACTACGTGATCGTTGCTGCCCGATGCAAAAAAAATGAGATCTACCGTCCCCTACCCCACGCAATCCTCCTCCCTCAATTACTTGCATCCCAAAATATTTTCTAGAAATACGAAGGAACCCCTTAAAATGTCAAAAAACCAAATTTGTGCATCGTCAGAATTCCGACCAGCCGAACGGCTCTTTGGTAGAACTCCATCAAAACAGCAGTTATAACCTCCGGGTCTCTCGTCAGAGAGGAACTCGCTGCTAATCTGCTTTTCTCCATCTCACCGGCAGAGATCGGCTTGTCACTGAATCCCTGGATTTATAGTGATGTAATCAGCAAAACTGTGGATCGAATTGATCGTACAGGAAAGGAGGTGGTTGATATGTGAGAGGAACAATCTCGGTACCAAGACCGAACCCTGGGGAACACCTGCATCAACATTGTGGTGTCTTGCGGCCAAAGAGGAAGTCAGCCACCCATCTGCAGAGCTTCTCTGGAAAGCCATAAGATGGAAGTTTGCATAAAAGGGCAGCAGGCCACAGCTGATCGAACGCTTTCGTGATATCAAGAACAACTCAATGAGCCTCAACATAAGACTGGATGAGTTTACACACTAGAGTTACGTGACGTAAGCTAAGAGGTCTCCGGTGGATCGCTGATGCCGGAAAACATACTGCCTGTCGCTAATCAAGAAGTAGCGTCCAAGGTACTTCAAACGCTTCCGATTTATGTCCCTCACTTATAACAAAAAGCAAGCTATAGATCTGTAGTTGTAAGGGTCGGCCTTAGAACCTTTCTTTAGGATGGGCTGGATATGAGCAAGTTTCCAGCTTTCTGGGAAAGATCCGGATTCGAAAGATATCTGGAAGAGACGCGCAAGAAATGGAGCAAACTCCGCTGCACATTTCTTCAGTACAACTGCAGCAATAAAGTCTGGACCAGAAGTTCTGTTGATATTAAGCGACATGAGTACCCGTCTTAACATCTTATGGCTGAAGGTTACTCTCCGTTAATCAATGGCGAACTATTTAGACTTCAAAACAGATTCGCCTATGTTAACCGTACCAAGACTACTATTACAATTATTTCCAGGTCACAATATCGGAATGGGTCATGATGATGGCAGAGAAGAATGCTTCTGCAGGGACTGGCATGGTTGCATAATGGCACAAGCGATCGTAGGATTGGACAATGTTCAACCATATAAGTTTTCTGAATGCAGCCGTTCAGATTACATCGATAGACTGAGGACTGGAAATGGAATATGCCTACTTAACAAGCCTAATGAATTAACGGTAAGCTGCTTAATGTTAACTAGCTTTGGAACAAGGGGCGCCGATGCAAAATGGGACACTTTGGGAGCTGAACCAATTTAATTTGGAACATCATAAAATGACATGTCGCAGTTAAAGTAAGAATAAAAAGACAAATCACCTTGAACAATGCTCATTACATGCTGAAGTAAGATACGTTGGTTTAATTTATGTAGGATTTTAAATATGTTCAAAAAGTAGATACCAGCATATCAAAACAAAGCTTGACGTTATTTTTTGCATTTGATTGCCAAGCCATTTGACTTAGCTCAAAAATAATGAATAGAGTACTTAAATAATTTGAACAAAAAACTGTTTAGCCAACTAATGAAACCCGCACCAGCATAAAGCAAAAATGAGGAACTTCCGATGACAGGTAGGACTGTATTGTTAAATCATAATAAATATAATAATGTTTATTGGAGTAACGTAGATGCACAGAATCGTTATCTTACAATAAGCATACAATACCCAAAGAAGTTCGAACTTGTGCTCGGGTTCACATGAGAATGAAAAAAATAATTATAATTTATTTTTATTAAAATAATTTTCTAATGTAAAAATGTAAAAAAAATATATTATTCTAGGTGTGAGATTCGGCTAAATTATTTTTGATACAAAATTAATTGTTTTTAGAATATTTCTTCTTAAATGTGTTCAAACCCATGATCTAGATAAATTGCTTTAAGTTAATAATGATTTTTTTAGCGTCCATAATTTTATGGATCGAGCTCCTTGGTTCCTGAATAATCCATAACTAGATATGTTTTTTAAAACGTTTTGATGTTTTAACCTTGTTTCATAGTGATTGATGGGGTGCATATTATTTTTAATTTGGTACATCATACATTGTAAAAGTAAATTTGTCTAACATCTGGGAGCTGAGCTTCTAAGTAAAGATTATCGGCTGCATATGTAGTCTCCTTATGAAGCATCAGTTTTAGTATCCACTCCTGTGCCATTTCAATATTTTTATAGTGATTGTTCATGAGTAGTCCCCATGTTAGTATACCATATGATAGAATAGGGTAGACAAGCGCATGGTAGAAAATATATACATAGTCTTTGTCCAAAAAATCACGAAAATACTTGAATTTTGGGGTAAGACATCTTAGTCTTGTCTAGTATTAAACCTAAGTATCTAATTTTGTTGACTAACTGGATTTCTTTATGGTCATATTTTATTTGTAATTTGTCTTTCATCACAAGACAATGTTGAAGTATGATTTTTCGTAAGTCATACTTCTTTCTGAAAAAAATTTCATAATTGTTGTAAAATCATTTTCAATTTCATTTTTTAAGGTGTACCAATCACTCCTTGTATAGATGACTGCTGTGTCGTCAGAGAAACTGATAATTTCGCCAACAGTACCATAAATTTGAAAGATCGTTAATATGTATATAAATTCAAGAGTAAGATGCCCAGCACCTTGGAGTACCCCATAAGTCACTATCTGTTGTTTGCTTAAATCACTGTCTACTTCAACACGCTGAATTTTTATTTTATAAATAACGTTCCATGAGTTTATAAATGTGTTACCTCGGAATCCTAAGTTTTCTAGACTGGCTAAAATACCTTTGTGGCTGTTGGTATCGAATGAATGCCTTGGCAAGATCAACAAAAATGCAAGCAGATGGTTCACTTATTATATTTTCATATATTCTATTAGTTAATTGCATAATCGCATCTTGTGTTGATTTTTCTTCCTGAAATCCGTATTGATGGGCTGATATAATGTTATACTTTTTAGTGAAATCCGTAAACCCCTTTTTTAATACTTTTTCAAATATTTTGGAGAAAATGCTCAGTGAGGAAAATGGTCCTTAATTACACGGTTTTCCTTCTTCGCCAGATTTGAACAGCGGTTTAATTACGGCAGTTTTCAGATGAGATGGGAATACCCCTTTATTTATGCAATTATTAATTAAATATGAAAGTATACCGCAAATATTAGAGTTTACTCGTTTCAATGTGTAAGCCCTAAGTTTCTATAAGCCTGGTGCTTTTCTATCTTTCAATTCATTATTTATGTTCATTATTACGTGTTCATCTGTTGGTGATAGATATAATGAGTCTAGTCTTACTATAATTTAGTTTTTCTTCATATGTATTTTTCACTAACTTTTCACCAATTTTCGAGAAATATTTGCAGAACTCATTATGCGCTAATACATTCAAAAATGTAGTATAATTTGTGAATATATGTTTTTTCCAACCTGACACCTAAATTACCAAAACTACGTAAACAATAAATAAGAAGGAAGTGACACTTGTTTGGTTTGTTCTAGCATCAGAATTTATAAAAGTGTAGGAAATAACATCACATGATGTTATACAAATCAACAACTACTTATAAATTTATTTTCCTAGTCATGTCAATACAAATAAGTTCGTACATTCATCAAATTTGGATATACGGGGGCGGTTCAATAAATACCCGTGTTAGAAATGAAGACACCATTTTTCCAAAAAAAATCAGTTTATTCTTCAACATAATCGTTTCTGCCATTTTCTTAACCCATCGAACTCTCCAAAATACGCCTGTCTCTGCGATGACTTCCTCGTTTGAGCTAAATTTTTCCCCGTGAGCCATTTCTTCATGTCAGGGAAGAAGAAAAAGTCGGAGGGGCCAGATCGGGTGATGATGCGGCAGCACTTCATAACGCAATTCATGCAGTTTGGCGGCGACTTCAGCATGAATGTGCTGGTGCGTTATCGTGGTGAAACAGCACCTTCTTTTTCGTCAAATGTGGCCGTATCTCCTTCAATTTTTTGTTGAAGCGGTCCAATAACTCACTGTAGTATTGTCCAGCGTCCAAAAAATTCTGGCCATGACGTTTCCGGCCGATGGGACCATCTTCGCCTTCTTTGGAGCAGATTCGCTGGGAGAGAAATCCATTGTTTTGATTGTCGCTTAGTTCCTGGTGTATAATGATGAATCCAGGTTTCATCGACGGTGATAACTCGAGACAAAAACTCCTTCGGATTTCGTTTAAATTGCTCCAAACGCTGCTTCGAAGTTAACAGCCGCAACCGCTTGTTGTCCACCGTGAGCAATCGCGGCACCCATCGGGCAGACAATTTTTTCATAACCAACTTATGCAAAATATTGATTTCCGTTTCGGTCGACACACCTACAGCCTCTGCTACTTCGCTCACTTTCGTTTGTCGATCAGCGAGAATCATGTCGTGGACTTTTTGAATGATTTCCTCGGAAACCACGCCTGCCGGGCGTACTGTTCGCTCCTGATCAAAAACGGAGGTTCGTCAACGTTTAAATTCGTTGAACCAATATCTAACTATGGTCATCGATGGTGAAGTGTCCCCATAAACAGCATCCAACTTTGCTGTTATCTGCTAGCATTTTTTCCCATCCAAAAACAAAAAGCGAATTACCGAACGATACTGCTCTTTTTCCATCTTAGCGAAAATCGCGAAACACGTGTTACTCCAATGGCTGCCAAATCCAAACTAACCTATCAATCAGACTGAAATTTGTTGTGCTGTCGTTTGATAGATGGCAGCACAATATGATAACATTAACTTCCCTCAGGAGCGCCCTTTGTCGTGAAACACGGGTACTTATTGAACCGCCCTCGTATGTATTCCGTTGCATTGCAAACTATGGTAATAATGTGGTGGAGGTTTGATATAAAGATACACTGTCATTTAGAGGAAAAGAAAGGAAAATAAACTCTTCCGCTAGTTTTCCTTACACACAATCAGAGGCAAGCGAGGTGTTACGTTTGACGCGTGCACATGACTAATGTCCCCGCGGTTCCTTCGTATCGCTCCGCCTCAGCTGGCGTGCAACCTTTAACTTAAATATTCTGTATCTGGTTAAACGTACCTCAGTTGTACATACGGAAGAAGACTTTCTAGGATTTCTAAAATTGTTTAACCGATATTTTTGTAATAACTACTGATTTTAGCATAAACTCTCCCTAATTAGTCCCCTCTCCATTCTAACAGGAACGAAGAACGTGCGGGAATAGTATAGTGGAAGAAGGTGAAGACTGTGATTGTGGAAGTATAGATAACTGTCACAAGGTAGACCCATGCTGTGATCCAATAACATGCAAGCTGACTAAAGAAGCGCAATGTGCCTCGGGACCTTGCTGCGAGGGTTGTCAACTAAAGGTAATATTTCATTTTTTGTATAAATGTCTACCAAAAAGCATAAGATGTCCCAAAAGAAAGTTCATATTTGATTACCTAGTAACAATAAATCTAGGACATCTATCAGGAAAACTTTTTCAACACGCTTAAGAAACACAAAAGATTCTGGTAAGAGCATGGCATGTGTACTGTGTAATAAATGGCCAATACTTTTTCCAACTACATTTAAAAATTAACTATAATGATGACTAATGTCAGCATTTCCAGAAAAAACTAACATGTGGTTAAGTTGGGACTGCGCAGAGGCCAATTTATGCCATTTTTCTATGTTTGAGGCAAAATAGAAATACATGGCATAGAAGTTCTAAAGCTCTGTGAGTCTATTCTATGATAGTTCAAGCACTGAGTTATCCAACATACTCATAAGGTGTTCCAAAATGACAGTAACTTTATGGTTTTCCATATTCAGAAAGTTGTTTCTTCTCCTGACGACCTAGTTTTCCTTAGTTAACCCTTTTATACAGGTTGAGTTTTTAGTATGTAATCGGTGGATAACTAAATTTATTTATTTAACAACATCCAACAGCCATAGCCAATTACAGGATGGATAAACATGAAAATATAAACAAATGCATGTAGTGGATGTATGTCGAAAAAGCTAAAACGCTGCAAAAAAACCTCAAAACAGAACTGCCAGGGAAAAAAGCGTTCTAGCTTTACCTACCCAGCACTCAACAATCACACCGGCAAGCATTAACGAAAATAAGCATTAATGTCTTCCAAAGTCGCACAAAACGAAAATATATCTGAAACGCTATTAACTGAATTATAATTACGGCACATTATATAGATAGGGGAAAACTTAAGTATGTCAGCCTGGCTAAGTGAGAAGTTAAACTAGTTCGTGACGCTAATGTAGGAATTAAGAAGTTAAGTTGTTATAAGATGACACTGGAGTCAATAATGCCATAGATGACCTTGTGAGTGAACTTAAGTGAATTCTTTTTGCGTCTGCTCTCTAAATTATAGATTTTGTGTCTCACCATCAACTCAATATGAGGAAAGCCAATAGCAGGATATCTCCCGTCAGCTTTGTATGAGAGATATTTTAAAAACTTTCTTTGAACGGACTCTAAGCGGTCAATATATATTTGATGATGAGGATACCATACCAGGGACGCATACTTAAGCTTAGCTCCTACATAAGCATAGTGCAGTATTTTCAGTGTAAAGTAGTTGTGGAAATCACCAGTATTTCTTACAATAAAACCATACGCCTTTGATGCAGCCACAACAGTATTTTCGAAAGTTTTCTGTCAAATGTGACTCCCAAGTCATTAATTGTATTAGGTCTGTCAAAGTTCCTGTCACCAATACTGTATTCATACATCATTACCCCTGTTTTTAAAGTAAACGACAAAACGTGACACTTAGCAGCATTCAAAACCAGTCTGTTTTCACACCAGTTGTCAACCCTTACAATGTTGCATTGCATATCGTCAGCATTTATAAGAAAATCGACATCGATAACTTCAGAAATATCATTTAAGAGGTCCCAAATTAGTTCCTAAACGTGGTGCTTTTTCGCTGTGCTATTTCCATAATCGGTGACATCCTTAGGTAATGTATCTAACAAGGCTGTTCAAAAAATGTATCGGCACATATACTCGTACGGTTTTGGGTTATCCTTTATATCAGCTTTATTTTTGTATACAGCTTTTGTAGTGATGGATTACTAAGTTTTTATTTGCAGTTTTCCAAAAATTACAAGCCGAAATAAATAATATCATATGATTTATAGAAAGGGAGGATTTTTTAGTGGACGTGTACAAGCCTTCATTGGAATAACCTTAAAACTTGATCTGATTTTTTTGAGAGAAATAACATTTTGAGTTTATACAAAATTATACGAAATTTGAAAAGCATTTAAATAACGAGGAGCTATGGTATATGAAGCTTATTTCGACAAAAAGTGTTGTAAGTGTAATTGAGTTACAAGCTGTCAGAGTTGAGAATTACATTATATCCCGTAGTCCTATATCATGCTCTATCACATGTTCATGAAAATTGCTTCAAGTAATGTCCAGAATATATGGAGAGCATTTCATTCAAAAAACATATATGTTTGTGTCGCCATGTGGTTAGGAATCACCCTGTAGAGACCGGCATATTTTCCAAGGAACGTATAGATGCCTGCAAATTTTGTAAGTAACTTGTTTAGATATCTTTTAAAATAGCAGAACTACCAACCGATTACATATTAAAAACTCACCCTGTGTATGACCGATAATGTTTTCATTATAAAAAGGCATACAAGTTGAAGCTAAGTAAATGTCTTCTTCTTATGCTCAACAGGGATTAGGCTTGTGCCTGTTCTGATTTCACAAATCTATTCAGGCCATCTGTTCCTTGGTCTTCCGAAATCTCTCTTGCCTTTTGGATTACAGTGGTATTTCATTAGTCAATCTATTAACGTGTTGCCTCCATTGTTCTCTGTGGTCATTTACTTTGTCATTTAGGGCATATATATCTAATTCCCCGCGTATGTCTACATCTCTTAGATGGTCGCTCCTTGTGCAGGCTTTGAATTTTCTTAGAAATCCCAATTCTGCTTCCTGTACTTTACTTTTCTCTTTTTTAGCACCCAGTTTTCGCACCCATGCATTACTATCGGTGTTGCCATGGCCTTATAGAATTTGATCTTTGTACGTTTTCCGAGTCTGTTGTTTAGCGTTTTATATATTGTTCTACAATCTGCTTAAAATATGAGTATCTTTTGATCAATGATATTGTCCTACTCTGACAGGCCATTACATTTATGTTCATAAAAAATAATTAGAGATTAGATGTTTACACAATAAATTTAGCATATGTACTGCTAATTGGGGTTTATATTCGTTTTCTTGTACTGTACTGTACTGAGACGTGGGCAGTACCCATTGTCAGACATTATTTTCCATAGTTTATCTCTGTCGGATCTATCAAATTTCAATTTATTTCAGGAAAAGGGCGTAGTATGTAGGGAGGCATCCAACGAATGCGACCTACCGGAGCAATGTTCCGGTGATACTGGAGAATGTCCGGTGGACGTGTATAAAAAGAACGGTAGTCCATGTGCCAAGGGAGCTGGGTATTGTTTCAACGGTGTTTGCCCTACGTTGACGCTGCAGTGTGAACACATATGGGGATATGGTGAGTTTAGATTTTACAATCTCGGCTTTGCAGTAATATAGATTTTACCAGTGGGATGTTTTGCTCAAAACTATAAGCGCCGAAAATGTCAGTTTCCAGAATGTTCAGCAGTCAAAGTTGATGAAGGGTGTTGTCAAACCCCATGCATGTACGTTAACGATAACCATTGACTAAGATTATTGTAGAATTCCAAATCTTATGATTGCACTAAAGTTGTTCATGACAGTTTGCGTGTCCGTAGCTTCCTGTGAAAGGAGTATCAGTAAACTAAAATTAATGAAAAACTATTTGCGGGCCACAATGACCCAATCGCGGCTTATGATATATTAGCCATCGAACACAGGGCAATACAAAATATAAATGTTGATGAAGTTATTTCTGAGTTTGCAGCTGTAAAAGCTAGAAAGAAGAGATTTTAATTGTAAGGTAAACATATTTTTTGTTTTGTTATTTGTTTAATATTTTAAATATAAATATTAAATGATCCATTACGTTTATAAATTATATAAAAATTATTGCTTTTGACTTTCGATGGGGTGACACCACCAACTTCCGCACCGAGTGCCACTCCAGCTACGCCACTGCTTAATACTAATTTAATAAACGCAGCTATCAAACTATTTCTTAAGTAATAAGCACGGCGAAATAATGAAAATGAAGACTATGCATTGAAAGGATCTCATATCAAAAGCGATATCCTTCGATGTAAAGGCTCGCTCACACTGATGCGACACAGCGACAGCGGTAGCGTCAACGTTAAAAATCGCATTTAGCACGATAGCTGCATACATTAATGGCCGAATTACGTAGTGATCCACAACATCTTTACGTAAACTTTCGAATGACTCCCGATTGTTTTGATGAAATCTTAAGTTTAATGTGATCCCACACTTAATCCTTTTCCTGCAATTTTTATAGTCTCCGTCACTTAAATCGTACAATATTGGGTACTTCCTTACTTGTTCAATTAATTTCTCCGTTGCGGACATCGTGAAAAACGTGGCGATATGCGATACGAAACGCGTCAGCAGCGTTTCTGAAACGAAACGCTGTCAAAGCGAAAAACCGCCGGCTACCGTGCTGGTGTGATCGGTGTTATTCAGCGGTCTGAAAAGTGAGCACCGCATGGACAGCGGAGCGATTATCGCTATCGCCTAACCGCGTCGGTGTGGGTGATCCTTAAGGCTGGTCCCGCTGCTGGTGCTGCTGGTCCCACTGCTGTTGACACTACTGGTGCCTTTGCTGATACTGCAACGAAATTAGCATCAGTGAAACCAGCAGCACACACCAAAGGATACTGCTTTTCCCACGATAACTGAAATGTTGGATCGTCCCTCATTCTACTCCCGCTTGTGTATTACATGTGTTTCAATAGAGAATTATTCACGTCTTGCTGTGAATAATAGGTTTTTGTTTTCCCATGCTAAAAATAAATAGCTTGTTTGTTTCCTTCCTGCGTTCATTAATCTTTGTACATAATACACGAACATACGCTGGTTCCGCAGTAATTTCTGGATCTTTCTGGAGTAATTACTTCCATTCAACGATTCGTGTTCGCAACACGGTCCCGTTTCACAATACGCCGTGCCGCGTATCAGCGTTGAAAAACTTGTCTTTCTAAGGAAATATATTATTCCCGTTCAAAAATAGAAACAATGCACGGGGATTTTCCAGTTTTATTTTCGAATTATTCGTGGAAAGCTGGTGCATACAATGGCCGGGCCAAAAGCAGAGGATTACACACGGTTCAACGGAGTAGAGCAAAAACGGTGTATCGCTTTTCACAATGCCGACGGGTCGACAGAGGACAGTAGCGGCGCTTATATTGAATTTCGACCATGACAAATCTTTATTTCATGTATATCGGAATATCCGCCTATTTTGTCGATGTATGAATCGGCCGATATGACGGAACTGAAAAAAACTCTTTTTGTTACATGAATCATTTATCGAATAATTTAGCAGCCGTTTTCAGTTCTAGTTTCAACTGAATCATAGTTTGGTATACTCGTCTCTGTGATATTTATAACATATATATATGTCGTCGATCTTTTTATCAGTAAGTCAAATTGTTTCCAGGTAACATAACAAAAACATATCAAGTGAACATTCTGACTTGAATACATAATGGTGCTTGTAAAAAAATTTACTTGTAGGTATATTTTGATTTCTATCCTGTCACTTTTACACGGCCAGCTTACCAAGTACACGTGTCACGCATGTCTCGTCATACTTTTGCAAATCGATTTATCTATTAGGAACCTGCAGTTTGCCACTACTTACATCAGATGCTGCGCGTTTCTGATCTTTTTCTTGAGATGACGCTCATATATAATGTTAAGACCTGTCTATTCCTGTTTATTATATGCGAGCTCTATATTTAGAAAGCATATTGGGTTTATTAGTAGACTAATAGCAGCCGAGTCAGTTACGTTTTCTGTGTTGAAGGGTACTAGGATGTTCTGAGTACTGTTACTTTTTGTTAAAACGGTGTGTTATTTTTAGTTTATTGTGTAAATAGTGCGAACAGTTTTTGTTATGTGTGTGGAGAGCTAACTTTTAAATCCCAAAATCGTACTTTTACTCCCCTTGTGTTGAAAGCATACGAACTTTATTTGGAATTAAAGTTCGTGATCAAGATAAACTATGGGCCCCTAATATGTGTTGTAAGACTTGTGTAACGCTGTTAATAGGTTGGTTAAGAGGCGACAATCGTAAAATGTCTTTGCAGTACCAATGGTTCGGAGAGAACCGTGAGACCATACTACTGATTGCTATTTTTGCCTTACAAATATGTATTAAAGGTACTGGACCAAAATCGAAACATACTGTTAATTTCCGATCCTTCGTTTGACTTGCCAGGCTGTTCAAGAGCGCCGCAATTAGTATTGCATATTAAGTTGGGACTGATGAAAACTTTTGTGAAAGCTATGGATCCAAATGGAAGAGGGTTTCTGCATTTAAAACAAACATTTCCGAGACTTAGTGAGGCAAACATTAAAGAGGGCATATTTGTGGGTCCACAGATACGGAAAATCATGAAGGAAGATGTATTTGACAGTGCTCTAAATGAAACTGAATTAAGAGCTTGGAATGCTTTTAAATCAGTTACTGCAAATTTTCTACGCAATGTGAAGGCGGACAATCATAAAGATATTATGAGTGAACTAATTAGTGCTTATAAAGGAATGGGATCTAACATGTCTCTTTAAATACACTTTTTGCATTCTCATTTTGATTTTTTTCCGGAAAATTTAGGTGCGCTAAGTGATGAACATGGTGAATGGTTGCACCAAGGTATGTCTGCTATGGAAAGACGGTATCAAGGCAAATGGACATCGACAACAACATTCTGAGATTAATGTTTATTCGAGTGTTTATTATTACTCTTACACACATATCCTTATGTTTTACGCATATAAGCAGCAAATAAAATGCCTTATTGTAAGAAAACCGTGGGTGATAGAAAAAATCCACTACCATTTCCGGCTTTTTGGGTACGTTTTACATAACAACCGCCTTGTTTTGTCCATATCACAAAAAAAATATTTTAATTTTGTTGACCAGTGTTATAGAGGTCTACTTATCAACTATTCGACAAAACGTTGTTAGTGTATATGGTCCACGTACTCACTCAAACAAAAGAAGAAAGCCCGATAGGCCGATAACGCTGATATAATAGCCTCTAATGAGGGTATTAAAGAGATCTTTCTAGGACAAGTTCTGAACTTACTAACGGTTATCAGATCTTGTTAACGCTTCTTATGGTAGTTTGTTCCATATTCTTGACACCATGGGAGCATGCTTCTTCCTGTATAAAGATTGAACTAGTCAGAATGAAAAGCAAGCCTCAGATGAATATAGATTATGATAGTATATCGGTAGAAAAGCGCCATCTAGCCAACCACCTGTCCTTGTGAAAAAGACCTGAGACTACTGCTAATGGAAGTATATCATTAACCTGTAAGATTGTCCTCCCCTAAGCTGTTTGAAATATGGACAGTGCTTTCCCAATAGGATTGTACTCCAAATCAAATCTTATATGAGCTTTATATAGAACAAGGAAGTTTGATTGTCCAAAAATAATTCCTAGCTCTAAATAGGCGACACTCAACTCTTACCAGCAGCTATTGCAACTGATTGAGCAGAAAATATATGCAAATGATCTATAAATTGTGTAGGCCGTTTCATCAGATACATGAAGTCATTTGAACTTCCACAACCTAAAACAAAGCTAGACAATTCATTGAGATCGGATATTTATTTGGATCCCCGTTACTAGTTCAAATGCAATACTGAATCCTATGACTCGTCCCCACGTCGTCAGATGCGTCTACAGCGGACGTCAATAGGTGCATCAGCATTTGAATCAGCACGAGCTGAACACTCGCCTGCAGATCGTTCAGTCTGAGTGCAGATACACTTGCACGCACAAAAAATTGCTCTATAGTATCCAATGTACAGTACCCTCAACTGGATGAATTAATTGCATTAATTAAATTGCATTGATAAGTTGTATAGCTACTTACATTTTTATTTTTGTGGTATTTGTTATGACGTTATATGGTATTAGTACCTGAATTTTGTTAGAGGATAAGTCGCTACCATTCGTCTTCCTAAAATAAATAAGTCATGGACCCCGGACTCTGAAGATTACAATCGTCTTGCTTGAAAATCCAACAAGCTATTTCAGATCCTAGTAGAACACTTGCATTGATATTTGTTTCTGTAATCGCGCCTCTATGTGGGGCCGTGTTCTGCAGCTGACTATATACAGGGTAGCCCATCCATGTGTGGACGGAATATTACTCATAAACAAATACATTTTGGGAAAATCTACTTATGGAGTGTTATACATGACATTTAAGGGCACATTTATAAAATATTGGCAATTATACAGGGTGTCCCAATTTTGACCTACATATCAAAGTTGTGATTTTTTAAATGGAGTGCCTCAAATTTTATTGCATATTTGGATGAACCAATTCAAAAGAAGAATATTGATATAACATACTATGGGGTTTTGGTAATTAGCTACTGAGATGTGCGGTGTTTTGTCTAGAAAAACCTTCCACTTCGGCAACCCCTCAATCCGCCATTTTGAAATTTGGAGTGCTGAATTTTGTATAATAAAAACTTACACACCTCAGCTTTCATCCTAATTGTTACTGTTTAGAATTTTCATTGTTGCTTTTACAGGGTGGTCAAAAACGCAAATTGTACCAGCTTCAAGCGTAATAGAGAAAAACAACTATAACAACAACATAAACAAACAACTATCACTACTCAAGACCTAATCTATAAAAACTGTTCAATCCATGATGTTGAATACATCGCCTTTGAATAAATGACCGTTGCACATCCCTCAGCATGTGTTTCCTTATGTTCAGAAAAGCATCCTTAATCCTTTCCTTATCTATAAACCTCTTGCTTAACGTAGCCCCATAGTAGGAAGTCCATCGGTGTCATATCTGATGATCTAAGAGGGCAAGATATAGGCCCATCACTACCGATCCAACGACTGTTACTCCCGGTGTCCAAATAGTTACGCACACGATTATGATAATGCGCAGATGCGCCGTCATGTTGGAAGTACATATGCATCCGAGTTTGCAGGTTGACATCCTCCAAAAGTTCAAGTATTCTATACCTGTTAATCTGTTGTCGAAAAAGAAGGCCCGATAACTTGTCTGCCAATAACTCCTCCCCAAACATTCAATCTTCATTTATTTTGGAAATCTATTTGCCTAACCCAGTAAGGGTTTTCCGTCGCACAATAGTGCATGTTATGCCTGTTGATAACACCTATGCTGTTAAAAGTTGTCTCATCGCTAAAAAGAACCTCATCCAGGAATGTAGTGTCTTCACTCAACTTATTTAGCATTATTCTACTAAACTCCATTCAAGCTGCGAAATCCTGAGGACAAAGGCCTTGATGCAAGCATAGGTGATATGGATGGTACCTAGCTTGTGAATAATCCTTTGGACAGAAGTTCTGCGGGTATATCAGTTTCTGCTCCAATTTGCCGTGCACTTAAATGGGGATTTTCCTGCAACTTTAATAGAACCTCCAACTGATTCACCTCATGGTGACACTTGGATTATTTATACATTTTTTACTATATTCCACTGCTCCACTTGAATCAAAACGTTCTCGTAATGTGGAAAATGTTTCCGTCCTTGGATGTCGCATATTAGGGTACCGTTGCTTATAAATGCGCGACACTAGGATACTATTTCTTTGGGCTTCGCCCAAAACGAACACCATATTCACCATTTCTTCTTTAGAAAAAATTATTTTCAAACAGGTTTTTATTATATTGCTCACAAAGCTAATTTTGACAGTTTTTAACTAATCAACAATTTATTTGTTTCCAAGGATGATGCGATATTTTAGGGAATTAGGTCGTTCCATAAAAGACGTGCTAATAACCAAAAAAATAGCCGTAAAAAAAGAACTTATAAAAGATTTAATCCAAACTTGTACAAATATACAGGGTGCTGCATTTGAAATTTTTGAGAAAAACTACAATTTGCGTTTTTGACCACCTTGTATGAGCAAAAATTAAAATTAGAAAAAGTAACAAATAAGATAAAAGCTGAGGTGCGTAAGTTTTTTTATACAAAATACAGCACTCCAAATTTCAAAATGGCAGACTGAGGGGTTGCCGATGTGGGGGTTTTTCTAGACAAAACACCTTATATCTCAGTAGCTAATTACCAAAACCCCATAGTATGTCATATCAATTTTCTTCTTTTGATATGGTTTATTCAAATATGTAATAAAATTTGAGGCATTGAATTTGAAAAATCACAGTTTTGATGGTAGGTCGAAAATAGGACACCCTGTATAATAGCCAATATTTTAGAAATGTGCTTTCAAATGTCATGCATAACAATCCATGAATAGATTTTCCCAAAATGTATTTGTCTATGAGTAATATTCCGTTCCCGCATGGATGGGCCACCCTGTATAAGCTTTATTTACTTTATGCAATAGCGAAATAACGTATACCTTTGAAGTGCTAGATCTTGTAGACGGTGTTTCGACGAAAAACTGTAGAAATCTTACTTAGTAAAATTTTTTGGTGAATAGTTTTTTCTCGAAAAGTGTATATGCAGGAGATGATAATAAAATACCAATTTTCTCTGCTATACAGGGTTATCCAAATTAAGTGTCCACCATTAGTAACTTTGTTATTAGTGAAAATACAAAGTTGGTTGAATTAGCAAACTAGTAGCATTTTTAACGCTGGTAAAAATGAGAAATAAAAAAAACAATTGAGAGTCGTTATTTTGATTTTTTTCAGTAAAATAACATTTTTTTAAATGGAAATCCCTGTATATTATATTTTTTTCTGTTAAAGCATCAAATTTTAAACAAAAAAGCTTACAATAACTTTTCTCCTAGGTTACAAATTGTTGAAGTTATGGCCTCCAATCTGAAACAATTAAATTGTATCGACAAACTTTATTTTCAACATCAACTTATAATCTTACCAAATACAATAACAATTTTTTTTAAAGAAGATGCTCGAAAACACCACCTTGTTCTTCAATACATTTTTGGGCACGTTTTTCAACTGCTCGAACTGTCTTAAGTATGGTCCTACCATCTATCTGGGTTATCTTTTCCCTAACTGCAGTCTTTAACGCGTCAAGGTTATCGTACCTTCGCTTGTACATTTGGTTCTTTAAGTAACCCCACAAGAAGTAATCAAGTGGGTTTAGATCTGATGATCTGGGAGGCCACTGTATTGGGCCATTTGTTCCTATCCACTGATCATTAAAAGTAGTACTTAGAAAATGATAAGTACCTCTGGAGTTGTGGGCAGGAGCGCCATCTTGCTGAAAATGCAGATGATGTCTACTTATAAGATCCAATTCGTCTAAGAAATTAGTCAGAATTTCTGACATAAATTCCACATATCTTTCACCAGTTAGGGTTCCCTCATAAAAGAACGGGCCAACAATTTTTGAACCAATTATACCGCACCAAACGTTGAAACTGAAACGGACTTGTGGGCCTCTTGGATGTACTAACAAAAGATTTTCTCTTGACCAATAATGGTGGTTTTTTCTATTAAACATTCCAGAATTTGAATAATTTGATTCATCTGTCCATAAAAGGTAACGAAAGTTATTTACATTTTGGCGACAGAAGCTAAGATACCAATGGCAAAAAACAAGTCTTCTCTCTGGATCCCCTGCCAAAAGCGTTTGAACTGGTCGGTACTTATACGGAATAAATTTGTATTTTTTTAAAATCCTTTGAACAGTACCATAACTGAAATTAGAGTCCTTGAGAATATCTGCTATTGAATTCTCACGATAAGCTTCAAAATATCCAATAACTGCAATTTCCGTGGCCTCGCTTATTATGAATTCTTTTTTTGCCCTTGTTTTAGCTAAAACATTTTCGTTGCCCCTAAATTTTCGATAAAGTCTCAGAAAATATCGTTCATACGGTTGAATGCGAGCGGGATATAATTCACTGTAGGATTCTCTTGCTCTCAAGGAGGATTTTCTGCACACTAAATAGCATTCTAACATATCACACTTTTCTTTATGGGAGAACATTTTTCTTTAAATTAATGACACAATAAAGCTTATAAACAAGTATTTACACTAATGTTTGACATTATTTGATTTTATCATTGTTTTCCAAAGCCTTCTAGTTGCGAGTATGTCCAGTTTAACAATTTGTCGCTTATCTTAATGCTGTCAAATCGCGAACGCCATGTTGTTTTCATAGCCGTCTTAATATTATAATACTGCAAATAATTAAAAATATTTATCGTTATTTTGACTTTATTTTTGACTTTAGCGGAAAAGTCACTATGAACTTTTTTGTTTAAAATTTGATGCTTTAACAGAAAAAAATATAATATACAGGGGTTTCCATTTAAAAAAATGTTATTTTACTGAAAAAAATCAAAATAACGACTCTCAATTGTTTTTTTTTATTTCTCATTTTTACCAGCGTTAAAAATGCTACTAGTTTGCTAATTCAAACAACTTTGTATTTTCACTAATAACAAAGTTACTAATGGTGGACACTTAATTTGGTATATCAATATCAAGGTGCCAAGATTTCAGCCAGCAACAGATTTTTACCATGCCTTGACTTGGTTTTTAGTCATAAATAGTTTTATTTAACATCATTTTTATTTCCTGATTACAATAGTAAGGAAATTCACATATTGTTCCAGGTGGAATAGCGGCTGACGATCAATGCTTCGAGCAGTTCAACTCGAAGGGTTCCATAAACGGTCACTGCGGAAGCGACTCCAGTGGTCGCTTAGTTAAATGCGCACCTGAAAACGTACGATGCGGATCACTACAGTGCCAGTTAGGGAACAGGTATCCGGTAGTCGAGGGCCTCGATCAGCCCCAGGATCACTCTAGGACTATAATATCTATCAAAGGGCATGAATATGAATGCAAGTAAGTTACTTCGACACTAAGCACGCAAAACGTAGCAATAGGATGAAACGGATTTCCATTTTCACATAAAGCCCATGAATTGAATGAATTCATTCTTCTTGGCTGTTCGGTTGGCGTCGGTGATTGTTAATTCTTGACATTTAGTCATCACCATGGATGGCATCTTCAGAGGACTTGCTTAAAATTCAATAGCAAGACTGTAAGTGCCATTGTCGTCTAACCTGACCTGTGAGGCATCTGAGCTTATAGTTCAGGACTATTAGACTTTCTCTGCTGAAAAAATCCCAACCTGGCTGAATTTTTTACCAGTGCATCTTTTCAGCATTAGAAATCATCCCTCAAAAGTTCCCATGAATCCAAGTGGAGCTTTTTTTTATGGGGTGTCTAAGGTCACAAAAACACTTTTCTCCATATATCTTCGGAAATATCAAATCTACGATAAAATGAACTGTTAAATTTTCTGTTCAGTATGAAATTATCCACAAAAAAGGTTCAATGCATTTTTTTCGTAGAGACCGTTTTTTCAAAGAAATTTGACTTTTTGAACATTGAGAAAATTGTAAAATAACGTACTTTTTTCACGTCACCATAGCGGTAAAGTACCAGACGCGTGTTTCATCATGAGGTCTCCCCAATATACCTAATCCACGAAGACAGAATGAAAAAATGATGTTATTGTTACTTTTTTCCTTAATCATCAATGTGACAAGATGCGGCATCATCTAGGTCTTCGCCAACCTCAAGTGTTGAGCGTAGCAAATTCATGGGGTCTATATTTTCATCGAATTCAACATTATTCGACTCTTCATTGTCCGAGATCATATTCAGACCTGTCTGTCCATGACAATAGCCTCAAATGGCGGAACAGTGTAGGCCAAGTTTCCTACATCCGCAATTAGCTCCACAACCTTTCGTACAATTATAAAAGATTGTATTTAATAAGACATCAGGAGCAGGTGGCAATAGAGTTTGTATTGGCTGTAAATATTCGTCGGTCTGGACTTGATAATACGAACGACATAAATGTGCTTGAGCTGCACTCGATGTTGTCGAACATTTGATTTGTCGGAGGACAATAATCGCTATTCGTGGGTGTCGATTGTATATCTTTACGAATAATTGATGAAACGGTCTCTAAAATTCTAAACTGTTCCTCTTTCTCATCACATTTATGATTGTCGTACCAGGTTTTGTTCAAGGTATCATGACTACCGTCAAAGAAAGAAATGATCGTTGAACTTGGACTCTTTGTTTTATTTTTTTTATTCTTTACAGTAACATCATTAGGTACAAAATCAGTACATACCCTTTTAAGTTCCGATAAAGCGAACTGACTGTCATCATTATTTTCTCCACTACCAAAGAGATATTGATATCTTGAGATCTCCCATGCTTTTGGGCAGTTAAAGGTCGCGCAAAAGAGACGTATGATATTTTGCATTTACTGCTACTAAATCCTCTTCATAAATAATGCGATTTTCAACTACTCTACCACGAGAATCATTACGCTGTTGAGCTATAGCAAGCACAATCGAATTAAATGATGATGTCTAGACGACGAAACGTGGGAACTTTTTTCTCATGTTCTTCGCAACGTGCCATTCCAGAAAATAAACATTTTTTGACAAATTCAAATTGCTCGCTCTCGGTAGAACGCGTTCTTCGCCGAGGAGGGCTAGCGGTCGAGGTGCTGGGTTCAGCATCTCGCTCCCTTTTAGCAGCAGTAATGATACTTACACGAATATATTCTTTGCGACATACCACGTGCACTCTGATCGATTCAACACTCCGCAAAAATGTAATTTTTCCATCATTTTGCTCGATACTGGCGTCACGTAGGCTTTAATAGCGCGCTCGACGCAAACAGTTGCTCCATCTGGCAGCGATTTGTCGCAAATGATGCAATTTTCGGCCATTTTTCAATTTACATGTGAATAATATCACGTAAAAACTGTCTGAAATTATCCGACGCATCTGTATACAACTGAGAATAGCAGAATACTGGTCTGAAGACTGGTCAAATGACGTCAATGCCCCACAGTCAGTTATACAGTGACGTACATTCTAACACAGAAATAAAGGGCCAGCTGTGCTCTAGGTCACAAGAGGGGATACTCATAGGCCCTCTACCACAAACATTCGAAAAGAAAACGAGGTCAAAATACGGTTTGACGTGAAATTTTTGATTTTTGTCAATTACAACACTTTCACGCAATTTTCTGTAAAGTCGCGGACTCTACGAAAAAAAATGCATAAAACCTTTTTGTGGAGAATATTATACTGAACAAAAAAGGTAATAGCTCATTTTATCGTAGAGTTGATATTTTCGAAGATATATGGAAAATAGTGATTTTTCTGACCTTTGACCACCCCATAAAAAAAAGCTCCACTTGGATTCATGGGGAGTTTTGAGGAATGATGTATAATGTTCAAAAAAGCTCTGGTAAAAAATTCAGCCAGGTGGGATTTTTTCAGCAGATTAGCCTTCTTTTCGTCTAATAGTCCTGAACTACTTAGCAGGCGAGGTCGCGTATAGGTTTTGCAAGAAACACAGCCCCAGTACAAGTATTTAATCACTGTGGAAGCCTGTGTAGGCTTAGGTCTCAATTATTAGGAAACACGAGCCCAAAAGCAGACTGCTATGTCAGGACTATGAAGTTTGGTTAAAGGACCAAAGCCACACAGAGTATGCTTCAGGTAGTGGAAGGTGTGAGCTGCTATGAATTCATATGCATCACAGAGGCATTTTACTTGTAACCAAGATGCCTATACGAACAGCCTAGCAGCCTGAGACGCTCCTACATCTACATGATTTTTGAATATTTGCCTAATAGCATCGACTTTTCTAATTTGGTATGCTTTTTCTAGATCCATCCATCGCACAACGACAGGCAAGAAACAGAAAAGTGGCAGTCCAACTGACGTTCCGCATTTGGGCCTAGTAAGAAACGGTACCCCATGTGGAGAAAACCTCATATGCATAAACCAGACTTGTACCAGTATATTTCCTCATATTATGCAAGAAAAGTGCCCCTCGAACCAAGGAAGTATTGAATGTTCTGGCCATGGCGTAAGTAATATTATCTCATAAATGATACAGTAATGTATTTGCTTATCTACGACTGGGAGATAAGGTGAACCTTAGGACCTAAATACAAATTTTGCAGCCCACGGTCTTCCTTATGCTCTCGGATGCTAAAGTGAGCTAACCACCCGCTATACCGGGTGATTCTCCAAGGTGGCTCATTGTTATAACTTTTTTATTATTAAAGATAGAAAAATGAAATTTGGGGGCTGCATATTATAGATGAATTTACATTTTGACATATTGATTTGCTTCACAGTACTTCCGGTTTGACCGGAACCGACTCCAACTTTCATCTTTTAAATGGGGCACACTATATATTTTTACTTAATCCGATCGAAAATGACATTCTGAACTTGACAACGGCTCACTTGTCAATATTTGACAAATAAAGTCATTTTTATTTAAATTTTTATTTTTCGATCTAGAATGCCATGGGTCCTGTAAATCACTTCATTTTTTATCAATTAACACGGGAAAAATACGATTTTGAGGCGAACGACTCCACAGTCGTTTTAAAGATTTTCTAAAAGTTACAAGCAATAATTTTTTCAGTTTACTTGATTTTTTCAAATACAGTGCAACCCGCTTATAATGGACTCGGCGGGACTGTGACAAATAGGCGGACGACCGTCTTAAAAGAAACACTTTTTTTCAATAAAAAGCAGCAAAAATAACAGATTAAACGCTTAAAATGTGTTTATTTAACATGTATTGCATAAATAAAGATACATACAAAACAGTTATACGTAATTTTGAAATTTGCATTTTTATCAGAATCTGATATACATATTACAGGCATACGTACTGTGTAGGTATGTATTAAAACCGTAAATTATTTCTTAAAAAAGCTAGTAATTTTCATTTGAACCTATTGTTTTTCTTTTTGTATAATTATTTAGAACAGCAAGTTGTATTTTATTTAATTTGGTAAGTATGGCTGTACTGGCTTCTTTTTGCTGAAAATAACGTGGCAACTTTTTCACGCAGTCTAATGCCTCCATAGTTGTCACTGGAAGCTCTTCTTCATCGTTGTTTTCCAGTTCGTGTCCCTGCTCGTTATCAACGGATCCTTCATTAAACAAATTGGAGTCTGATAATTCCTGAGTTGCTATTAAATTATTTTCAACATTTACATACTTATTAAATCTGTCTATATTCAGTAAACTATTAATTTTCAGTAAGCCACTTAACGGAATTTCATCTTCTGGATTAAACTCGTTGACTATTTCAGTTATGTTTTTCACTAAACCATCATGGCGAAAACAATTACGAATCGTTTCTGGAGTAACCGATTCGAATGCAATAGTAAGCAAATTTATAGCATCTAAAATGGTGACAGCTTTGGTAATGTTAACATCTTCTTGAAGCTCCATAATTTTCATCAACATATGTTTCCGATGCATTTGTTTAAGAGTCCAAACGACACCTGGTTCATTGGTTGCAGAACTGATGTCACATTGGGTCGAAAAAATTGAAGGTTGATGTTATTAAGTGAGAGATTTGGATGAGCGGGGCAGTTATCGACCAATAGCAAAATTTTACGATTTTTCTTAACCAAGTTCAGCGTCCCACTTTCTTAAATATTTCTCAAAAATTGCTTCATTATTTCCAACATAAAAAAACTTCATAAGTTCTTTGCAGCACTGCCATTGAATATCAAAAAAATTAGGACATGAATTTCTATTCATTCACTTACCTATTATCAATAGTTTCCGTTTTTCAGTACCAGAAGCATTAGCACAAATCATAACAGTTATTCGCTCTTTTGATAGTTTCCATCCATTGCAAGTTTCACCTTTTAATTTATGAGTTTTATCTGGTAGCATTCTATAAAATATCCCGGCTTCATCTTCATTGAATAAGCTATTATCTGAATAATCACTGGATATTACGGGCCAAACTTGAGAAATCCAGTCATTGGTAACGTTCTTGTGAACTGAAACTGACTCAGCACACATTTTTCCAAAAACAAT